TAGTTGGATAAAAACAAATAAAAAAGTATAAGAGAGAAAAAAGAGTGGAAAAAGTTAAAAGAGTGATTACTAACTGGATACAGCGAGAAATAAAAACTAATGGAGAAAAGGGGGAGAGAGTGAGAGAAAGAGTAAGAGAGAGGATGAGAAAATAGAATAAGGGATAGAAAAACATAATTTAACTGTTAGATAGATAAAAAGAAATAAAGGAAAATAAGTGAAGAAAAAAGGTAAAAGTGTGATTAGTAAATGGATATAGCAAAAAATAAAAATCGAGAAAACCAAGAAATATAGTAATGTAATATAAATAGTAAGATAATATATAATAATATTAACAACTGTAAGTTAATGGGTAAATAAACAGAGAAACGAAACAAGAGATAATAACAAATAAATATAATAATAGAAGAAAAAGAAAAAAACATCATTGATAAAAAAAGGTAATGGGAGAAAAAGATAGATAGAAAGTTGAGTAGGTAGGTAGGTGGGTAGAGAGAGAGAGAGAGAGAGAGAGAGAGAGAGAGAGAGAGAATGAGAAAATAGATTGAGGGATAGACAAAAGATGATAATAATTTAATTCTTAAATAAATAAAAAGAAACAAAGAAAAATAAGATAAGAAAAAGGTAAAAGTATGATTAGTAAATGGATATAGCGAGAAATAAAAATCGAGAAGAAGAAAAGAGAAAAAAATAATAATAGTATCAACTGTAACTAAATTGATAACGAAACAGAGGAAAGAAACAAAAGGTAACAGCATATAAAGAGAAATATAATATTAGAAGGTAAAGAAAGAGAAAAGAGAGATAAAAGAAGCTAATGGGATAGAATGATAGATTGATACATAGATGAAGAGAGTTGAATAAATAGTTAGGTAGGTAGAGAGACAGGGAGAGAGAGAGAGAGAGAGAGAGCGAGAGAGGAGAGAGAGAGAAAGCCAGAGAGAGAGAGAGTGAGAGAGAGAATGAAAAAATAGGGCGAGGGATAGACAAATATAATAATAATAATTTCATTATTAAATAAATAGAAAAAAACAAAGGAAAATAAGAGAAAAAAAAGATAAAAGTATGATAATAAAATGCATATACCAAGAAATATAAATCGAGAANATATAATATATAATAATAGTAACAACTGTAAGTTAATTGATAAACAAACAGTGTAAAGAGACAAGATATCATACCATATAAAGTAAAATATAATAATAGACGGTAAAGAAAGAAAAATGAGAGATAAAAGAAGGTAATGGGAGAGAAAGATAGATTGATACATAGATATAGAGTCGAATAGATAAGTAGGCAGGTAGGTAGGTAGGGAGAGAGAGAGAGAGAGAACTACGATTATTCTTTCATAGTATCATGTTAAACTAAAAACCATTATCGTGTTCACAAGTATACAAAACAGAAATTTCTTCCTCGCAAGAAAGGAGTGATTAGTAGTTCCGCGTCCAATTTTCAACAAGCTTGTGGTCCATGTGTTTCTTTTATTATTTTCCTTGCCTTGTGTGACATCTATTTCTTTGTGTAGTTCCTGCGTAGTGCAAAAAGAAATTCTATTTTGCCGAGGTGAATGAAGAAAGTGCATTGAAAGAATTTAACATCGACGCTGTCTTCGTGCGGTTATCCTCGGCCCGGATCAATACAAAAACTATAAAACTCCAACTTGTCAATCCGTCTTGGACTTTGCGAGCCCGTGAGAAAGTTCCCACTGCTTATTGTCTCACTGATCAACAGGCGGACCCATAAATACACGGCTAACTGGGCCCAGATACCATCGGGAACGCGACAAGATTCTAACCGAGCCAGAGCAGTTCACAGACGGCATAAACTCGGCTCAATCGTAAAACCAGCTCCTTAACACCAACACCCGAGAGGAAATGGCATCTTTTAATGGATATCTGCGCGCAAAAAAATCATAATAAAAATCTCGTCAGACCGTAAATTGTGAAATCCGTGAACATCAATGGCCAAGCTTGCCCACTCATCGCCATTGGCGAAAATTAATCAAATTGCCTCAATATACCTAATTTATTGTGACAATAAACAAGCTTATGAGGTTAACAATAAAACCGATCTCTTTTTTGTTCAGTAATAAATTTTAAACCAATAATAAAATTATTAATCGTAATAGTGAAGGTTTCAACAGTGTCGTACTGCTTGGTGCGTGTTTTAAAATAAACATCCCGTTATAAATTTTAAATGTTTATCCTGCAAGAAAGTGAAAGTGGTATCCGGGATGATTTTTGCTACACATAGACAATTTTGCAGTCTCTATCCCGCCAAGGCTGAGAATTAACCTATGACCTTAGAAAAATCCGTCATGATGTAAAGACCATAAAGTGTCTTTTAACGTACAGTCTCTTTTTTTTTATATAAATATTTATGCGTAAATAAGTCTTGTTTCTTCGAGTTTTATTTTCTGTATTGTTTTATTACTCAGATCTAGGGGGTGTGATGCCATTCCGACGTCCCCACCCGTACTGAGTCCTCAAATCTTTGCTCATGTGGTGACCAGACGACCCATACCAAATTATCAGTTGTCTAATTTCTGTTCAGTAATTTAGTAGCTCGTAAGAAGGGAGATTGTCTATATTCCATGAATCGGCTACAAGAACAACAATTGACTGCCAGCAGCCTGATCAAACCTTTGACCCCCCCTTGCTTACAAGATGCGCAGAAAAACTCATAGATGGTCTTCCTAGCTGGTTATGTTGATCGAAACGAATGTGTCTAGGAAGAATCATAGTTCCGACTCCTTAGGCTGATTACGACGTTTCGCCACGAGGGTCAATCCATCATCGACGCCGTCCGCTCTTCGCCGGCCTTATTTGGCCCCGAGTATATCTGGGCGTAAATCAAAGGTTGACACCTGTTCTTTCTCATGAAAAACCTAATGATTCCCTTCATTTTCTAAGTATTCAACGAAGACTGGCCGCTTTTGCCGACCTCCTGATACAATTTGAACGGGCTCGACATAATACGTTGAACGTCCTTCAATAATTAACATCGAATTCAGATCGGAACATGGAATCCAGGAAAAAACATCACTTTAAACACTACAAATTACATCTCAAAACACAACGATTTACATGTTGGCCTCAGATGAACACAGCGAGATTATCCAGACCCTGAGTTGTTATTTGGTATATTGCTATTTTGAGAAAAATCTGTGAGATCACTTATTAATCAAAAGAGATCAACAATAAAAATAATGGTTTAATATTCTTAATCAGAATGTATCTAAACGTAAAAACAAGCAATATTAGAACGACCCTGGGCTGACTAGCATGTCAAATATTTGGAGACGATGAAAGAACAATGCGAAACTACACGGATCCTGTCATTATCACCATCTCTCTCACTCTCTCTCTCTCTCTCCCTTTCTCTCTCCCTTTCTCTCTCCCTATCTATATCTCTCTATATATTCATCCATCTATCTATTATGTATGTATATTTTTATCAATCTATCCCTCGCTTATTTTTTTCTTCTCGCTATGTCGAAATATTAATCAAATTTTTCCTCATGTTTCCACTCTATCTCTCTTTTTCGTATCACTCTCTTTCTCTTCCTTGGTCTCTCACTCTCTTTCTCTTTCTATCTTCACTCTCTGCCACTATCTCTCTCTTTCTCTCAATCTCTCTAATTTACTCTCTTCCCCCTCTGTCACATTATCTCTCTCTTTTTCTCACTGTCTCTCACACACACTCTCCCTCCTCTGTTCACTATCTCCCTCTTTCCCTCCCACACTCAGCTCACTCACTATCTCTCAAACACTCTCTACCCTCTATCTCACCGTCTCCCTCTTTCTCGCTCATACTCTCTCTCTCTCTCTCTCTCAATCACTTTCTCTCTCTTTCTCACACTATTTCTCTCTTCCTCTTACTCTCTCTCTCACACACTCCCTCTCTCTCTCTTTCTCTTTATTTTTCCATGTATCTGTCTGTATTTTTCTCAATCTATTCCTTGCTCTGGTTTTTCTTTATGTTATATCGATTTATTAATCAAACTTTTACATATTTGTCCACTCTCTCTCACTTTCTCTCCGTTTTCTTTTCCCTTTGCACTTTCTCTCTCTCTCTCTCTCTCTCTCACACACTCTCTCTCTCTCTCTGTTTCGTTCACACTCACTTTGTCTCTCTCTCCCTTTCACTACCTTTCTCTCATTTTCTTTTCCTCTATTTCACTATGCATCTATCTCTCTCTATATTTTTTCGTATCTGTCCTTTGATCGGAGTTTTTTCTCCCAATATTATTATTTTTTTTACGAGGGTTTGTAACAGCAGAGGTTATATCAGTGTCAAAAACCTCGGGGTGCCGGTGTTTTTGAAAAAAAAGAAGCCCATTTGTAAGTATGTCGGGCCTCTGGATTCGAACCCGGGACCTTCACCTTACAGTGATGAGCGTCATGTCAACGCCTAAACCGTTGCGGCAACCGACGCCCCTAATATTAAGTTATTAATAGAACTTTTTAATCCTCATTTTTTACACTCACACATACACACATACATCCTTTCTTTCTCTTAATCTCTCTCTCCTCCCTCATTCGTTTTCGCCCCACCACTCCAACTCACATTCTTTTTTTTCTCATTTTATTGGTGCAAATGCTGAAAGTTTTTGGAAAGAACCGCGTGGATCAAATAATTAAGGATTAATTTTGTTGATATTTATGACAACTAAGGTGTTACAAGATAAGGACGGTGGTCAATGAGTGAAAATACTGCCTGATATTCTATCAATTTATGGTATTTGAAAATCGGGCAAAAAAGCAAAATCGATCGGACCTAGATTTAAACGCACCACTTCCGTTTATTAGGGCATTTTGCCACTTTATAGGAATGATAACACATTTAACGTTATGTAAATATGTACAATATTTAAGCAGCACTTTTTTATTATTTTAAATTTATGCTGTGCTGTGCATGATTGGACATACTTTTGTTTTTTGCTAATAAAATTGCTTCTAAAGGGTTTTTCAATATTTTATGTTATGAATTTTTTTCAGAGCTTTTTCGGAAGGACGTACAATAACCTGAGCTCGATTTCGGAGTGCAAGAACAACGGTGAATGCGTGATCAACAAGAAGAACAGGACGTCGTGCAAGGCGTGCAGACTGCGGAAGTGCCTTCTCGTCGGGATGTCGAAGAGCGGCTCCAGGTACGGAAGGAGGTCCAACTGGTTCAAGATTCACTGCCTCCTCCAGGAGCAGGGCGGCCTGCCCGCCGTCAAGAAGGAAGACGAAGAAGAAGAAGCGCAGAAAGAAAGGAGGTTCACCCCGCCTCCACCGTTCTACCCCCAGCCACGACGGCACTTCCTCTTCCCCCAGGAACCCTGGCAACCCTGGCCTCCGACGCCCCCGGAAGCACCTCAAGACCAGCCTATCGACCTGTCACTAAAACCCAGGACGGATTCGGAAGTCTTAGACCTGACGAAACGGCAAGCGCTGGCCGGTTGGTCATCTTAACACCTTCCATAAAAAAATGTATATACTCTTCTGTATCATTCTATTTGTATTGACATGTATAAAAGTTATAATTTTTTTCCTTATCGATGTATCCACGATAATTACTAAAAAGAAAATATTTCTAAAACATCAGATCTGAGCAGTAGTAAAATCATGTTCCTTTTAAATACTGCCTTGAAAGTCAAAAAATAAAAATTTGTATGAAAATATATAAAAATTATTTACAAAAAAAAATTCATAAAAGACAAATATGTTAATACTATTTGTAAAAAAATGTTCGATCGACGGAATGTGTTAAACTTAAGTTATTTTATAAATACCATAATAATTTTAAAAAAAAATGTGTTTTGTTTTTAAAGAATCAAAATAATTTTAAAAAAATATCTATAAAAAATTGTAAATATATATTTTTTTGCGAATGTAAATAAATCGTGCCAAAAAATTAAGCATCGACGCCCACCAAGTGAACAAAGCACTCTGTGCCAAGACCCGCTGTACATATTATATTTTTTTAATGATGCCATCAAATCTCGTGCATGTAAAGAAAGTGATATATTTTGTATTTTTTATTTATTACGTGTTGTATTTTTCTTTTTTTTCCTCTTTTTTGTGCGACATAAGACTGTACGCGGCCAGTTGGATACTACTATAGTTATCAAATGCATGTAGTAGAACTATAGCGATATGTTGTCGATTTTTTAAAATAAAAAAAAATATATTTGTTAAACTGTTATATTTACCTACAACTCACAATTCTTCATAATAAAAGATTTATCACATAATTTTTTTTTTTAAACGTTATCAAATGTATGTAAAGAGATCTTTTTGACCTTCTTTACAGACAAGTTCAATATTTTTTTTTTATCATTTAATTATTGACCTAAACTCAAACCTGATCGCGGTAATACTTGTGATAATCAGGGATAAAATTTTTGAAACATTTTTTATCTTCTGAGTTTTATAGTTCTTACTATTTTTATCACCATCTCTGGGTTTCTGACGCAACAATAATTAATTATTATCAAGTAATCAGTTATATAATCTTTTCAAGTTTTTTGCAAAAATTTATTGAAGGCGTCAGTTAAATCAAGGTGATATAGCAGTGGCCATGAAACAGACCCCTGAGGTATTCATTATTTCAACACTTATTTTTTAAATACTTTTTCTTTATTCTCTATATATTATTCTTCTTTATTTGTTTCCATTCTTTTACCGCTCTTTTTCTCTGAAAAACTCTTCTAATTTAAATTATTCTGTCTGTCAGTCTCTCTCTCTCTCTCTTTCTTTCTTTCTTTTTTTCTCACCCTTCCAGATTATTATAGCTAATTAGACATACCTTGTTGTTTTTGCATTTAAAAGAACTAAGAGAATAATTAGGAAGAAAGAAGTGTTGTTTTCTCGTCTTAAAAATGCAATATCAATTCGAATCTATGATAATTCAAAGCAAAAAGTATTTTGAAGTTCGTAAAATCCCCGTACTCGAGCGAGAGAGGACGTCAAGGTTATAAGCAGGGAGAGGTGATACGCTAGTTACCTCTATTCCTTCAAAATCTTTTCTTTCTTTTACTCACAAACTCTCACACTTTGAATCTACCTATCTCTCCCTTTCTTTTTTCTCTTACTGTACACGTTTTCCTTCGTTTCTTTCTGCATGTATAGCTTGGGTTATAAAAAAAACTATATTATCATATATTTATAGTATTGTTATTCTTATTTATATTTTATAGGTTGGTATTTAAATCTATCTATCTACTAGTTATATGTTTATCTATCCATCGTTATATCTCCCTTTCTCTTTTTTCCTTCTTTCGTTTTACTTTCTCTCTTTATAACTTCCTTTACCACTAAATTAACCTCTAGGTCTTTCCCTCTCTCCCTCTCGCTTCATGTATCAATCGATCTATCTAGCTATCTCTTTATCTATCTATCTCTATATCTCGCTTTTTTTCCTTCTTTTGGCTCATTTTTTCCCTTTATAAGTTCCTTTATCATAAACTATTATCTCTCTCCCCCAATCTCTCTTTTCCTCCGTCTCTCTCTCTCTTCATCTATCAATCGATCTATCTAGCTATCTATTTAACTATGCATCTCTATAACACTCTTTCTTTCTTTTTCACCTTTTGGCTCACTTTTTCTTCTTATAACTTCCTTTACCATAAACTATCCTCTATCTCTCACTCTCCCTGTCCCTCACCCTCCTTCTTTTTCTACATTTATCAATCGCTCTATTTACCTAACTATTTATCTAACCACCTCTACATCTCCCTTTCTCTTTTTCTCTTTATAAGTTCCTGTATCATAAACTACTTTCTCTCCCTCACTCTTCCTCTTCCTCTCTCTCTCTCTCTCTCTCTCTCTCTCTTTCTCTCCCTCTCTTTATCTAGCAATCCATCGATCTAGCTATCTATTTATCTAACCACTTCTACAACTCCACATCTCCCTTTCTCTTTACCATAAACTACTTTCTCTCCCTCACTCTTCCTCTCCCTCACTCTTCCTCTCTCTCTGTCTCTCTCTCCCTCTCTCTCTCTTTCTTTCTCTCCTTCTCTTTATCTAACAATCCATCGATCTAGCTATCTATTTATCTAACCACTTCCACATCTCTACATCTCCCTTTCTCTTTTTCTCTGTATAAGTTCCTTTACCATAAACTACTTTCTCTCCCTCACTCTTCCTCTTCCTCTCTCTGTCTCTCTCTCTCTCTCTCTCTCTTTACCTAGCAATCCATCGATGTAGCTATCTATTTATCTAACCACTTCTACATCTCTACATTACCCTTTCTCTTTTTTATTTCTTTCGTTTTGCTCTTTCGCTTTGTAACTTCCGTTACCATAAACTATCCTCTCTCTCTCCCTCTCTCTTTCACTCCCTCTCTCTCTCACTCTCTCTCTCTCTCTCACTTTCTCTCTCTCTCTCTCTCTCACACACACACACACACACTATATCACTCACTCTTTTTTTCTCTATGTCTTCTGTTAGATAGTCGATTTTAGGCGCACTTTTTTGCCTTCTCTATTCATTCATAATGTTTTTGTTTTTATATAAAGCACACACGAGTGCGAGTAATATAAAATTGTTTAAACTGAAACTCTCATTGTTACTAAATTTGCTTAAAAGTGCGCCCAAAAATCAATTATCAAAACGAAGGTAAATAAAATATTTTGGTACCTTGAGCATGTCAATTTGTTTTCGTTTTCACTTGTAGATACACATATGGAAGGCTAAAAAAGTCATTGATAAATGGGGTAAAGAATCAATTACATCAGTGATGTAGGCAGTACGCCATGACACTTAGAGTGGACTGTCTTTAGGAAAAAAGTTAATGGGCCTTTTTGGGCTTTAGGAACAAATTTTAATCGGATGTTGAAGGGTGTGAAAAAGGAAAGAGTGAGAATCCTTCTTCCAAAAGATTGATTGATATCCAAACAGGTTAAAAATTATACATTCAGCTTGCACGGAATAGTAAAAAGGATGGAACATTTTTTCCTCTCGGCAGTCGTGTCCGCCCACCGTCATGGCAAGACGTGGGTCAAAACCAGATGGAAAAATCGTACGAAAGGACCTCTTCACTTTAAACGTCCTGGTGAAAATAGGATTGTCAGGGCGGGAGCTTTATCGGATTAGGTGGGGGATGCGGGTGCGATATCGGGGAAAGAGAAAGCCTGAGAAAGAGACCTGACCCATGACCCGACCCGGAGTTCGTTTGCTTTCTCGGCACCTGCTCAACGGAGTCCTGACGGCGAAATGTCCCGCACCTTGCGTCAATCATCGCCAGACCGGTACAAATAAATAAATACATACAATTAAAGCCCGCAGAGGAAAATAACCCTTAAAAAAAGAAAGATTATATCACAACGGGAAATCACTTCCTGCAAGAATTTCACGAATGAAAACCTCAAACAGGTCAAACTTCTGTCAAAAACACAAACCAAAAATATAATTCGCACCAGCTACAACATTGAGAGGGTTATTTGGAGATCGTGAGCTGCGGTTTTTTTGTGACGTAGGTTTTAGAAAAACATTTTCTTTATCGTGCAACGTTTCGGTCTTTATTGAGATCATCTTCAGGGCCTGGGATTTATAAGCATTGTTTAAATTTTACAAATACATGAAAAAAAGATGAATTTATACAATGCTAGAAATTTTACAGAAATTGAGAGAAGAAAATTGAGAGGATTCATCAGTATACAAAATTGATGTTTTTTATCTGGCTTAAACATTAATCTATCTTGTCCCACCAAAAACAGGGAAGAGAAACAAAAAGAAAAACTAATTTATCACCAATATTTGTAAAAGAAGGTACGAAGGTAAAGAAAGAGTGAGAAATAGAGCAAGAGGGAGAGGGAATGTAAAAATACATATGCAATAACACAAAAAGAAAGATACTTTAATAGAATGAATAGAAAGTAAAAGGGAAAGAGAAGAGAAAAAAGGGAGAACGAAAGAAACTTAAAAAGAGGGAGACAATACATATACAAACACAAGATCATTATGAAAATCATGTGTAAGTTGAGGGAAGATGGAAGAAGGTAGAGAAAGTAGAAATGAGGCCTCCAAAACATTGAACCCCAACAAGAAAGAGAGAAAATGCCTATAGAAAGAAAAAAGTAGAAAATAGATGAACACAATGAATGTTAAAATAGTTAAAAAATATAGACAAGAGTATATCTAGGAGACAGATAAACATAGTGGAAATATGTTGATGGTAGACAGGTATACAGATAAATATATATAGATGGATAGATAGACAGAGAAATTAAAAAAAGAGAGAAGGAAAGACACGTAAATAGAGGGAAAAAATACATATAAAAACAACATAAAAATCCTGTATAAGTTGAGATGAGATGGTAGAACGTAGAGAAAGTAGCAATAAGCCCTCAAAAGAAAAGAGAGAAAATGCATGTACAAAGAAAATAGTAGAAAATAGATAGAGAACATCACCTTCAAAGATAAATAGGATAATAGACGGAAGAAATTAGAAGAAGAAATAGTTAAAAAATACAAAAAACGATATATACAGGAGACAGATAAAAATAGTTGGAAAAGGTAGATTGTTAGACAGGTAGACAGATATATATACATAAATTGATAGATAGGAAATTAAAAAAGGAGATAATAAAAGAAAGGTAAAGAAAAGGTAAGATTACATATACAAACAACTTGAACAGCTTATATAAGGTAGAAAAAGTAACATTGAACCGCAAAAGGCAGTAAAGAAAGAGAGGAAATACATATACAAACAAAACAGGAGAAGATAGATGTAGAACATGTAGTACAGAAGGTATAAAAAGTTAAAAAATACCGACAAGGATATATCTAGGAGACAGATAAAGATAGTTCAAAAAGGTAGTTGTTAGAAAGGTAGACAGATAAATATATATATTTTGATAGATAGGCAGAAAAATTAACAAAGGAGATAATAAAAGAAACGTAAAGACAAGGTGATAATACATATACAAACAACATGAACAGCATATAAAATGTAGAGAAAATAACATTGAACGGCAAAAGGCCGTATAGAAAGAGAGGAAATGCTTAGACACACAAAATAGAAGAAGATAGATGGAGAACATCACCTTCAAAGATAAATAGGATAATACAAGTTAGAAATAGTTAAAAAATACAATCAAGGATATATCCAGGAGACAGATAAAAATAGTTGAAAAAGATAGATTGTTAAACAGGTAGACAGGTAAATATATATAAATTGATAGATAAGCAGAGAAATTAACAAAGGAGATAACAACGAACG